ACAGCAGCAGTTCCGAAACGGTGCAGTGAGAATCATAGCTGCGATGGAAGAGGATAGCAGGGGAGGCGGATAAGGATAGCAGGTGAGGCAAGAGAGGATAGCAGGTGAGGCGGAAGAAGATAGCAAGTGAAACGGGAGTGGATAACAGGTGAGGCGGGAGAGGATAGCAGCTGAGGTGGAAGAGGATAATAGGTGAGGCGGTAGAGGATAGCAGATGAGGTAGGAGAGGATAGCAGGAGGCGGGAGAGGATAGCAGATGAGGCGGGAGATGATAGCAAGTAAGGCGGTAGAGGATAGCAGGTGAGGCGCTAGAGGAAAGCAGCTGAGGCGAGAGAAGATAGAAGGTGAGGTGGAAGAGGATAGCAGGTGAGACGGAAGAGGAAAGCAGCTGAGGCGAGAGAAGAGAGAAGATAGCAGGTGAGGCGGTGAGGAAAGCAGCTGAGGATAGCAGGTGAGGTGGAAGAGGATAGCAGGTGAGACGGTAGAGGAAAGCAGCTGAGGCGAGAGAAGATAGCAGGTGAGGTGGAAGAGGATAGCAGGTGAGGCGGTAGAGGAAAGCAGCTGAGGCGAGAGAAGATAGCAGGTGAGGTGGAAGAGGATAGCAGGTGAGACGGAAGAGGATAGCAGCTGAGGCGAGAGAAGATAGCAGATGAGGCGGAAGAGAATAGCAGGTGAGGCGAGAGAAGATAGCAGGTGAGGTGGAAGAGGATAGCAGGTGAGGCGGAAGAGGAAAGCAGCTGAGGCGAGAGAAGATAGCAGGTGAGGTGGAAGAGGATAGCAGGTGAGGCGGTGAGGAAAGCAGCTGAGGCGAGAGAAGATAGCAGGTGAGGGATGGGTGAAGAGGGATAGCAGGAGAGAAGATGAAGAGGATAGCAGCTGAGGCGAGAGAAGATAGCAGATGAGGCGGAAGAGAGATAGCAGGTGAGCTGAGGCGAGAGAAGATAGCAGGTGAAGTGGAAGAGGATAGCAGGTGAGACGGAAGAGGATAGCAGCTGAGGCGAGAGAAGATAGCAGGTGAGGTGGAAGAGGATAGCAGGTTTATACATTCTTTTTATAGATACAAATATTTAAGTAAATGCTCTGTTTTATAATAAAACAGTATTAATAAAATTTACCGGCCTGAATGTCTGAGAAATCGTCATAGAAAATATTCAAACCGGCCTGGAGAGGACTGGGCTTCGTCATGCTATCTCGCCCAAAAAACACCCCTTTTACTGCGGCTTCAACACATGGGGTGCCTCTAGGACCCTACATTCGGATTCGAGATTGTGATCAAAAAATTAATATGCCAAAAATAAACATACTTTCAAAATTTATATTATTACTATCGATTACTTGTAATTGCATGCATGGGTCCCTGTATAAAAAGTTATAAATACTTACTAACCGATTTTATCATTGTGATATTTTTGCATTATATCAAGTATTAAGAATATAGCAACTAAGGTCTGCAAATTGGAGGAGACAGTTATCAATGATAATGTTCTGAATTCGAGTTTGCAGTTACCTCCCTTTAGCCTTCTCTCTCTTTTGTTTTAAAATGTACTTTTTTTAGATTCTGGAGAGCACTGGTTCCCAAATGATGTGGCATGCCTCATAGGTGTGGCAGAAGAGGATAGCAGGTGAGGCAGAATAATTGGAAGACAAAGATTTAGAAAGAGTTTCAAAAAATTCATATGCCAAACAAGAAATATGATTTTAAAATTCAAATTATTATTATGGATTACTTGTGATTGCAAGCATGAGTCCCAGTAGAAATGGTCATAAATAATTATTGACCGATTTTATCATTGCGATATTTTTGTATTATATTAAGTATTAAGAATATAGGAACGAGGCTCTGCAAATTGGAGGAGAGAGTTATCAATGATAATGTTCTCACGTCGAATCCGCGGTTATCTCCCTTCAGCACTCTCTCTGAAGCTTCTATGATGTAGGGCTGTGTGATTTTCATTAAAAGAATGCGGCCCATCGAAAAACAAAAGGTTTCAGAATCACTGATATAGAGTATAGCATGCGGATTCAGTTCCATTCTGAAGCGGTAGAAAAAAAAAACATATTCCAAAATTCTTTCGTTGATGATTTTTAAGAAAATGTAAAAAGCAAAGTTTTACTTCTTTTTCGAATTCTTTGCGATTTAAATTTTCTTAAAAATCATTTAATCACCACTTACTTACCACCACCTGAAGAAGTACAATCAAATTGTTGAAACATGAAAGCTTTTGTGTAGCGATTTCAAAATGTTTTTATTATAATCTCTTCTGATAATAATAATGATATATTGCTCTACATTGTACTGAACAATTTTAAAAAGTAAATGCTACCAAAAGTAGAATTTTACTCCATCTGTTCAATCTCTCATTTGTCTGTATATATATATATATATATATATATATATATATATATATATATATATATATAATGGGCATGTATGTCAATATAAATGTATATATATATATATATGCAATTTTATATATATTATATATGCGCGGTATTTATTGAAAGCTCTCTCTCTCTCTCTATATATATATATATATATATATATATATATATATATGTGTGTGTGTGTGTGTGTGTGTGTGTGTGTGTGTATGTATAATGTGCATGTATATATTATAAATTTATATATATATATATATATATATGTATATATTATATGCTCGGTACTTATTGGAAAGCGCTACATATATATTGGAAAATTATAAACAGGGCTAGAACATGTAAAACTTGGGATGACCCATGCCTTTTGTGCCTCCATGAGAAATTGCACATTATTAAACCTCTAAACAATAATAATCTATTAAACAATAGACATGAGTTAACGGTTTTTTGTCGTCATCATCAGATTTATGGTTTGAATAATTAGCTAAAAACAAGCATACAATATCATAACTTGATTAATCCATAGCCCAATCATCTGATTCATGGTTTGAATAATTAGCTAAGAACAAGCATACAATATAATAATTTTCATAATCCATAGCCCAAATAAATAGTTTAAATACCCTACATAAAAGATAACCCTTTATGAAGTCGTCAAAAAACAAACGTTACGGCAGTTTTTTTTTGTTTTTTTTATATGCACAAATCCCTTTCATCATAAAAAAATAAAATAAAAAAATAAATAAATCTCCATAGACACGCATACCAGACTAGTGTGAATACATCTTCCGTTTCAAATTTAGACACCCCCACCTTACCCTGACTTGACATCTCCTACCCAATTTAAACAATTCGCCCTAGCTGTTACCATGGAAATTTTGATTTCAATTATTAAAACACGTAAATTTCAGAAATACGTTATTCCAAAAAAAATTTCGCTTGAAGATGGAACAGAGCTTATTTTAACTCAATTTAATTTTTTAATTAAATTATATATATTCGGCTCTTGTTTTGAAACATGAGACCTCTTATGTCGCGAGTTGGAATCATATTTTTAAATAAATAATTATATATATATATATATATATATATATATATATATATATCTATTGTAGATGAAAATATACTAGAAAAATTAGTAAATATTAGTATCTACAACAGATCCTAGCAAAACATTAAGTTAATCATATACTACACTAAATCTAGTATATCCATCTCAAATATTCGCAATGGTTCCTCTCCCCCGGTTAGCGATTTGCAAAAAGAAAACAACATAGTTTACACATTCAGAGTGTGGAGATTGTATCTGCAACGAATTAAATAATATTTATGTTGATCACACCACAAACGCGCTTTCACGACGCTTGACACTACATTTGAACAACATGCCTGGCCGCGTACACAATACCGGAAAATCCTCGTTGAAAACACAACTATACTTAAACATGAAAACAATAAAAAAAAACTAAAAATTTTTTGAAGCTATATACATAAAACTGTAGAAACCTAACCTGAACAAAATAAACTGATCAGAGGCCTTGCTGCTGGATGTAGTTTAACGTCTTACCCAGGACGCGGATGTAGTTTATTGTCTTACCCAGTACACTATATATATATATATATATATATATATATATATATATATATATATATATCAGTTTACTCAGATCTATCTATCTATCTATCTATCTATCTATCTATCTATCTATCTCAGTCTGGTCATTATCTCTCTATCTGATGCCTCATACAAGCTTGAATATATATATATATATATATATATATATATATATATATATATATATATATATAAAAAAAAGTTTCAAATTAAAAATTATAATGTTTTTTTATTTTATGAAAGTATTTATTTATTTATATATATATATTTGATATTTCAAATTGTCCTCAATTTTTCATCAGAAATAACTGTTTGTTACAAATAAATTAAAATTACTGTTTGTTGGCAAGTAGCGTCCTTCGCGAGACGCGGACATCACGTGATATGGAACGTCACTGTTCAGATATATATATATGATGCCTCTCACAAGATTGAATATATATATATATATATATATATATATATATATATATATATATATATATATATATATATATCTTCAAGCTCGTTTTGTGACACCAGTTCCGGTACAATCAGTGAAGTTAAGCAACTTCAGTGGTGGTCATCCCCTAGATGTGTGACCGTATTGGGAATACGGGGTGCTGTTAACTTGGATGTGCGCGTGGTGTAATGGATAACTGCTCAGAATTCTAACTGGGATTGCCGATTTCCAATTTCAATCGAGTTCATAATATCGCTGACCCGCAACTACCTTTTTGAAAGGTACGAATCCAACTCGTCTCAACCCCAGCTATGTGCAAAATAATAGGCCATGTTTCAGTTTTAAAAAAAATAAAATCATAGAATCTACAAGTATTTTCTGGCTTTAAATAACTTGCAAAAGGTTGAAAACCCATAAAATAAACAAATCAGTCCAGCTTGTATATCTTCTCTGGACCCGTTAATTTAGCTGAGATCTTTAATGTTTTCGTTTTTGAAAATAAACATTTTCTCTAGATATAGAAGAATTGTGTAGACATGAGATTTCATTAGAATCTAGTACATTTATCTGCTTGTAAAATCTGCAACTGATATCTACTTGTAATTTTACCGTAATTGGTAACGCCCCAAATATTGCATTAATTTTATTATCTTAATAAAAGATTCAGTCTTCGATCTCCCCCAGCTTCTCACCTTCTTTGGGCCCTGGGGGACCAATTCTGATCATATATATTTTTCAGACCCCCGGGATATAAATGGTCACATGGCGTGTGGAAGGAATATAACATTGCCAAGACGGCAGTGTAAATTTTGGCAAGAAAACCACGCCCTTACAATAAAGGTCACAACAACGCGAGTTCAAATGGGGTAATAAGCGGTGTTGATTATGCCCTGTATCCCCTCCCTATCCGCGATTTTGCTTTGCAAGGGTTCACTTATCCGCGGTGGAAATAAATCTATCTATAAAAGGCAGGATGTGTGTGTGTGTGTGTGTGTGTAACGAATGCAAGGCCGCAGTTTTCGACGGATTTGCACCAAAATTTACATGCACATTTCCAAGTTAGCAGGAAGGCCAAGACCGACATTATATTTCCCAACTCTCATCGATAGTGGAAATAATCGATATTTCATGCTTCTACGGCAGTTTTCATGTAGTTTGCGGCCATTTTCTACTGGCCAGAGTGAGAGCCTATAGCTGGCTGCCACGAATAGGCAGGAAGATTCTATTGGCCAGCGTGAGAGCCAACAGCTGACTGACACGAATGGTAACTAGCATGCTAGCATGCAAAAAAAATCGATAGCTGCATTCGTCACAAATGGAAAAAATTTAAATCTGCATGGCACTTTACTCCAATTGGCTCATTCGCTTGCTTAACTGGGTTGGGTGTGAAAAGTAATTGTCGTTAACATTCTTTTTTCATTTGGTTTTTCCAGTTACGAGTCCTTTTTTAAAGCTGATCGTTTTGTGTTCATTTTCTTTAGTTCTTTTTTCGTAAAAGATTTAATGTTTAGTATAGAGCTTAGAAAAAATTCGCAGTATGAGATAGGCAAGAAGTAAGGCATGGAGCAACATCAGCACGGCAAAGGGCACTCCTTTAAAGGCAAGGAAGGGCAAAAATATTTTAAATCAAGTGATAGCGATTGTTGTATGAGTCGTACGATTTTTGAATCAAGCCCGGGCAACGCCGGGCCATACTGCTCGTAAAGTAATTTAAAAGCTGAAAATAAAAAAAAAAAAAAAAGAAAATCAACAGCACCAGATGTAGTTTAACACAACACTGCCAATGAATACAAAACCAGAACTTTTTTCTTTTTCTTCTTTTTTTTTTTATCTACCAAGGCCCTAAAGGACGTTGGAGATCATTTCTCTCCCCAATATCCAGTTCCTTTTAGATCTTAATACATTTTGGATTTTTGCCATCTCTTCTAAACCCTGTTCTGTCATCCATTTACACTATCGATAGTTTATCTTTGCTTCTGTTCCTCCAAGAATTAATATGAGTATCGAATTTTCCAAGTCTCTTTCTTTCTTATATGACCCAGAAAGCTCAAGTATGTCTTTCTGGTGTATAATTGTCCTTTTTCTTGGTATTCGTCGTTGTTCACATGTTCAGTTCAAGGTATTTTCAACGTCCGTCTGTTTCAATTTCTTGAAGTCTCTTCTTCAGCTATAAGGACATTGTCCATCATCCACTGCCATACAGGAGGGCTGTTATTTTATGTGTTTCTAATGAAATTTTCTTGTTTCTTAATACTTTGCTTAGCTTTCAGAAAGCATCTTTCGATGACCGAATGCGTCTTCGGATTACAGTGTCACTCTTTCCGCCTTCTCTTAGAACCCGTTAATGTTGCTTTAAGTCTCTTCTTCATCTTTGAGAAGATTATCCAACACTCACTGCCATACAGGAGGACACATGTCATGGAACAGTTTAGTACTTGTTCCTTGTTTCTAGTGAAGTTTTTCTATTTCTTAATAATATGCTTAGCTTTTGGAAGGCATCTTTCCGTCCTCTGTTAAAACACTTAACAGATATTTAACATTTTTGTTGATTTTGCTATCTCCGATTTGTAATTTGCATGTTGGTCTGTTCCGTTTGGTGACAACCATTTGTTGTTGCCGGCACCTGCTCGCATCAGGTCATCGGGATCGTCATCCTCTCTCTCTCTCTCTCTCTTTTCTCTTCTTTGGTAGTGTTGTCGGAGACAGCGGTGTCAGAGATGTCGTTGTCGAAGATGGCCATTCGCGTGAATTTGATTTCGGTAGATAACTTTACGCGACGAAGAAGCCCATGCACTTTGGTCAGAAGCGCCTCATCCGTGGCTCAAAGCGGATTGAAACAGGCGAGATCTGTCCATCCTTGTCAACAAGAGTCGGATGTTTGTTCCGCCCATGTCCGCCTTGGTTACGTCAGCCCGACTGGCGATGCTCTCTTCCGTTATTTTATAGATCTTTGCTTATTCCGCCGTTGCGGTCTTCGGGGGATGTGGGCTGGTCGTATCCAGTTTGATCTTCTTCTTGACCTTACCGCCATGGGTGATACTAAAAGAGTTGGAGCTTCAGGCGTCTTCTCTCTTGACTTCATTGGAACACACATGCCATCTACCATGACAAGAATCCGTCAGACGATAAACTACGTCCGGGTCCTGGATAAGACGATAAACTACGTCCCCGTCCTGGGTAAGACAATAAACTACATCCACGTCCTGGGTAAGACAATAGTCTACATCCGCGTCCTGGGTAAGACGATAAACTACGCCAAGCAGCAAGGCCTCTAATCAGGAAGTTTTGGGGAGCGTGGAATCACCTCTTAATTGCTGATGTTCCCAGGTCCACTCTGACCCAGGGTGGTAGCACCTGTTTGGGTCCCAACTATGTGCAAATTGTCATCCTCTAAACTGGGGTCAAAACATTATGAAAGTGTAAAAATAGATTTTAATACCAGAAATACTTTAAAAAATCATTACCAGTAATAAATTTTTGGAGAATGATAACTATTAGTATTAATAGATTTTTGAAAAAAAATATTACCAACAATGTTTTTTAAAAAATAAATATTGCTAAGATTACATTTTTGAAAAAAATATTACCAGAAATAGATTTTAGACAAAACAAAATATTGCGAGCAATAAAAATTTTGTCAGCATTAAATAATCCAGTGAGGTCGATATGCCGTAAAACAAACCAAACCAAACCAAACCATGACAAGAAAAGACCATATGAAAAAATTTTTTCAGAGTTAACCTGCAGAAAAAGAGAATATTTATAAAGACAATGGTTTTATGTAGCATTATATCTATCTATGCATCTATCTATCAATCACTCTCTCTGTCTCTCTCTCTCTCCCTCTGTATATATATATATATATATATATATATATATATATATATATAGGAGAACTGTAATATTAGCCAGCGCGTTTCGTCCAATGTGGACTTTTTCAAGGCAAAAATGAAATGAAATTATTAAACAAAGTAACTAATAACAAAAACAAAATGTCCTTAGCAACTGGAAGAAATTAAAGAACGCTATTTTCATACTGTTAACTGAAAATTACATCAATTACTGTCACGTGTGGTGATATTGTCTTTATTGCTGTGTTGACCTGTTCAACCATTTTCTTTTGATTTCTTGATACTGTTCTTTACGTTTGTTTAGGAGATTAGTAATTCTGTTAAGAAAGGTGAAATATGTAAAAAGACTTGGCGTAGATTAATATTTGGGTAATATTAAAAAAAATATCAATTGCAAAGGACATTTTGTTTTTTGTTATTATTAGTTACTTTGTTTAAATAAATTCATTTCGTTTTTTGCCTTGAGAAAGTCCACATTGGACGAAACGCGTCGGCAACTATTACAGTTTTCCTATTGTCTTATACATTTATAAAAAGACCATATATATTTTACACTGGATGTCGGAGTAAACAGTTTGTTATCAAATGAACCACCTGAAACGATTATTACTTTAATGACAATACCAGAAACAACTACACATTCATATTAACCTAAAAATCATATTCTTAAGTAGCCTTGTTAGAAATCGAAACTTTCATGCGACGGTTCAGCCCTCCTCACGTTCCCCTGTCACGCCTCTCTTTGGCCTCTCTCGTTCAAAGCAGAAGGTTACAACCGAATAAAATTTGGCTTCTGCAACCATACTCTCATTGTTTTATTTCGTCGGGGACGATCTGGCCAAAGACTCATTTTTTTAAGTCACAGGCGTTTAAGTGGAAAAGCTGCACCCTGAGAACGAAAGAAACTGATGTCTGGTCTGATTTGGCATGGTATAAATCGACTCAACATCATCAGATGATGATATCAAATATGTTTCATTGCCATTAATGTCAATTGTCATATGTAGCACTGTTTTTTAATAAATGTAGAGTGGAGAAAACGGGGACTTACCTCGTCAAACCAAGCGACAGCGTGTCACGTGTATCCTACGACGGAAAATGTGGCGAAAAAGAATATTACTTCCCCTCCACCCAAAAAAAAGTAGGTACGTATTCCGCATGACATGCTGAAGACGAAATATTTAAATTAAAAAACAAGTCCGTCGCAGGAGTCGCTATAAAAGTATTTTGATATGCAAAAATTGGGCGTCCTCTTCCAGTTGTCGACGAATGGAAAAAAAATGCTCGGCCGATAAAAGCAACTGGTGTTGGTGTTCTCCAATCGAGGGAAGGTTCGTGTATTTTGGCTACCGCGTTCGTCGGAGAGTGAGTTATTTTTCTGACTGGTTACGTTCATTTGGATTTGTGAGATAGTACCTGCGAATCGAGTTTTCGGCATTTCTTTCTGCCCCCGATATTCGAGTCTGAACTTACAGTGGTTTGTTCTCTGCGCTGTGGAAGTAATCTGCGACAAATATTTCCTTTGCAATCCCAGATCGCTTACAGAAAAACAAACAACAGAAAAAATTAAAAATAACAGAATTTTCTTTTCTTCGCCATATTTCATTTTTCTGATGAAGCTTAAATAAAAGTGAAACATGTTAAATTCTTAAACGTTTCCTAATTATTCCATATCCTATCATTCTGTTGGATTCTAATCCATATTTGATCTCTCTCTCTCTCTTTATATATATATATATAAGATTTTCGTGGTACAGAATTTAATAATAGATAGGAAAAGACAATATTTATAAGGCTAATATTTCAATGTGAATTTCTTCAAGCGTGTATTGATAAACATGTATATCCGTCCAATATCTTGTTTAGAATAAGGAATGCGAGACTACATTCTGGTTTTAAAAAATGAGAAGATATTTATAGAGGATTCAATTAGAACTTTTTCTAAAAGAATCTTTTTTCTCAATTGTACCTTTAAGAATCAATGGAGAAAGTGTATGGTAACTCTTTCTTACTTTGATCGATTTTTTTCCCCATTCGATTACATTCGTTAATTAAAAATTAATTTACACGCTTTTTTAAAATTCCCAGAATAAATAAACTTGATAAGTCCTGGGACGAAACCGGTTGTTTTTATTTTAGCTTTTGCTTTTTAAAAAATGCCTTCTAAATATTGTCTTTTCCTATCTATTATTAAATTCTATACCACGAAAATCTTATTTAAATATTTAAAACGGAGGTACAAACCTGAATTTATCCATAGTTTAGATAAATTATTATCACTCATTTTTGATAAGGGGCCTAAGAGTTAATTTTTATCCACATATCAGTTACCTTCATGGAGAGGCCAAGCTGAGGTAGGGTAGGGTGTCTATTTCAAAGCGAATTATGTCTTTCTTGTACGCGCTTCGTCTGTTCATTCACAGAGAAAGATAGATTTTGGCACCATAGTATGTTGTTAAGTGTCTGGATGATTTTGCTTTATTTTATTTTATTTATTTATTTTCAACGGGCTGTTTCATATATAAATGCGTCGCACTGAACTACAATTTATTTTTTGACGACTTCATAAAGTGTTTTCTCTTTAATGATTGGGTTAATTATAAAAATACGAAATTTGATTTTTTTTTTTTTTGGCTTAAGGATGAAACAGGGCTTGTTACTTTAATTCAATTTGATTTTAATAATTAAATTGATGGTTTCGGCTCTCGTTTTTGAAACATGAGAACTCTTATGTAGCGAAGGAATCATATTTTTAAAAAAAGTTATATATATACTGTTCATACGTGTTTTTATAGATATAATTTAAGCAAATGGTCTGCTTTTTAAGTAAACAGTATTAATTATATATATACTGAAGTGAATGCTTGAGAAATTTCGTAGAAAATATGAACTCTCCCACAGGAATCGAACCTGTAACCCTTATGCGATCGGTCATTCATCTTGAAGTACTGTTAACCATTCGGCCATAGAGAGGCAACCTGAACCGATTTCTTTTCTGACGAGTTACGTGCATTGTGATTTGTGGAAGTAATCCGCGACAAATATTTCCTTTGCAATCTCAGAACGCTTACAAAACGATATTTATCTCGGCAATATATTACTCGCTAAACCAGACTTTGAATGTCAACTGATTCAAAGTTTTGATTGACTTTTCAACCAGCTGATGAAACAAATAAAATAACAGACCTCCTGTATGGCAGCGGATGCTGGACAAATTTAAAAGCCATGATAAATCAATGATGTATCGTTGCCGTTGTATATAAACACTGACAAAAAATACATACTTACATTTGCACCTGTCTGTACTTACATCTCTATATCTCAGTCTTTTCTTCTTTCTATCTATCTATCTATCTATCAATCTATCTATTTATTTATTTATCAGTTAGTTCTTACATATCTGTCTATCTATTTCATCTGTCTATCTAAGTCTGTTTTTATCTATTTATCTAGCTAGCTAGCTAGCTAGCTCTTTCTACATATCTATTACAGTCTGTTCTATCTATCTATCTATCTATCAGTCAGTTCTTACATATCTGTCTGTCTATTACAGTCAGTTCTATCTATCTATCTATCTATCTATCTATCTATCTATCTGTTAGTCAGTTCTTACATATCTATCTATCTATCTAACAGTTCTTACATATCTGTCTGTCTATTACAGTCAGTTCTATCTATCTATCTATCTATCTATCTATCTATCTATCTATCTATCTATTTATCTGTTAGTCATTTCTTACATATCTATCTATCTATCTATCAGATCTTACATATCTGTCTGTCTATCTATTTCAATCTGTTGTATCTATCTATCTATCTATCTATCTATCTATCTATCTATCTATCTATCTATCAGTCAGTTCTTACATATCTGTCTGTCTATTACAGTCAGTTCTATCTATCTATCTATCTATCTATCTATCTATCTATCTATCTATCTATCTGTCTGTTAGTCATTTCTTACATATCTATCTATCTATCTATCTATCTATCTATCAGATCTTACATATCTGTCTGTCTATCTATTTCAATCTGTTGTATCTATCTATCTATCTATCTATCTATCTATCTATCTATCAGTCAGTTCTTACATGTCTGTCTTTCTTTCTATTACAGTCTGTTCTATCTATCTATCTATCTATCTATCTATCTATCTATCTATCTATCTATCTATCTATCTATCTATCTATTAACCGGAAGATATTTATAAAAGATGCTAGGGGCAACAACGTTACTGCAGTGGCAGAGTAACTGAATCTGAGATGCCAGCTCACGACTGATAATATTGCCTGTATTTTCTCAAGAAGAATGCAATGTGTAAATCCTTACTGTAAATCTCTCCCTATGTCAGAGAAAGGCCCTTGGTGATACAATTTCCATTCGTGTTTGAATACTTTGCATAGACGCGTTTGTAGTTTATGCGTTTAATTTCACGTCTCGTTCAATTCATCTCTTTCAGAGCCACTTAATGTCCGTTTGATTTTAGCGAAAATCTCGTTTATTTCTCCTCGCTATATGTCTCGGTTCTTGCACAGCTCTATCCCGATGCCTGTCGCTTTACAGGCCCCGTCTGTAGGCAGGATTTTATTTCAGCGGCAGGCTTTACCTTGGGTCTGTTTTCCCTGGAGCAGGCTTACCGTAGAGAAAGTCTGCTAGGTTAATGTCGTCTCTCGTGCCGTACTGTCGTCACGACATGACAAGCGTCTTTGTCTTGTGAACAATGCCCGAGAACGACATATTGGCTTGCTGACGCGTTTCTGGTTTTGTCACGTGGTCTTTTCACGTGACCACGAGATGTCAACGAGAACAGCGCATGCGATACTCACTGACGAAAAAAAATACTGAAATACCTTCTTTATATACAGGGTGTCCATAAAGTTAATGTGCACTTTAAAGTTATAAATTATTTAAAGTGCACATGAACATTATGGACAACCTGTATATATATATATATATATATATATATATATATATATATATATATAGATAGATAGATAGATAGATAGACCTAGTGAGCCAGACAAACCTATCAGGTCTCACCTAAGCGGATCGTCAGGGAAAGCTGGCTTTCCCTGACGATCCACTTAAGTGAAACCTAGGTAGGTGTGTCTGGCTCACTAGGTGTATCTAGATCTGCTCTACGGTTGTATTGAGCTCTTTTGTTAGTTAGTTGTTTACTCGAGTCGGGGTTTTTTCTTTGGGCTTCAAACCTGTATCTGTGCAATTTTTTTCGACAGACTTTCATGTTTCTAGCTCTTTTTTTAAGACCTTTTTTTCCCTCGAGATTGATTTGATTATTGGCAAATAAGAAAAATTCGAAGGTTTTTCGAAATGAGTATAGTTACCTATATATATATATATATATATATATATATATATATATATATATATATATATGCATGTTTCATTAAAAACGACAGGCAAGGTACTACGGTTAAGCGTTTTATTAAATTTTTCTTGTGTTCTAACAAGAGCTTTCTTTTCTGGACAAAAGGTGTGTAAGAACTGTCCAAATGTTTTATATTTCCGAGCGCTTTCGGCTATCCCTTTAGCCATTATCAAGGATGATTCGATTTTTCAGCTTAACTGAGTGTGTGCGTTCTGTGTATGTCTTAGTGTGTGTAAATAATGTAAGTAATCATAATACATCATCTCAGAGATATAGACAGATACCATCAATCATCTAAATGACAAACTTTTATTTATCTTATATATATTCGTGACCAATATCAATTCTTTGTTAAAGTATTTTCAACTATTTTTACATTTTGAATTATATATATATATATATATATATATATATATATATATATATATATATATATATTATGCACTGTTACATTAGTGGGTATGTACATATTCTAATGTGACACTGCATAATAAATAAAGATTTATTGCTCTACTTTTGTATTGAACCCTGTTTTAAATTAATGTTTTGAATGCTGAAATCTTACTCTTCGTTCTTTAATATATATATATATATATATATATATAATTGAACATAGAAGTCAACACTTAGAGATGACAGTTAGTTTCATGCTAGATGCAATCTTCAGGCCATGAGTGTTGTTATTTTTCTCGGCTATTTATATATATACGCCTCAGTGGTGCATTGTGGGTAGTCTATTTTGGCGGTTATTTTACCGGAAGTCGTTTATTTGTTTATTTATGTGGGTTAAATTATTTTGTTTGTTTTTATTATTGTTTTTTATTTTATTTTTATTTCTTATCTTATATATTTATTTATTTTTTATTTTTTAATCGGTGTTTTTATTAACGTAGTAAAAATTTGTTTATATCGCTTATCTAATAGTTTTGTTTTGGTTGGGGAAGATAATTAAAGTTATTTATTCAATTTTGGGGTTGATTGTTGTAGTTTATTCTAACTATTTTTTGGCGGGAACAGTTTTTAGTTTGTTTATTACTTCATGTATTTATTTGGATTGATTATCTTTATTTGATTTTCTAACGGTTAGTTTATCGGGATCGTTTGTTAGTTTATTTATTTAGATGAATTTAGGTCAATTTATTTTACTTGTTATTATTTATTTGTTATACTGTATATTTTCTCTTTTCGATTTTCGATTTTTAAGTAACGTAGTATTTTTTTTATCGTTATATAACAGTTATAGCTATTTTTTTCGTCTGATTTTTTGGTTTAATTTTTATAGTCTAACTAATATTTTGGTCATAATAGTTTGCTAATTTGTTTATTATTTACTTTATTTGGATGCATTGTTTTTTTTTAATCATTATTCTATTTCGTCTATTCTAACAGGTGTGATTTGGTAATTTGTTTGGGTTAATTAATTTTGCTTATTTTATTGTTATTTTGTTTATTTATTTTATTTTGTTTTATTTTTTCCGTTTTTGATTTTGGGCAACCTAACTCCCCAGACAGCAACTCGCTTCATTATCATGCGTGGGCAGCAGTTGAGCGAAAGACTAACAATATTCCTAGTAACAGCAAAGATGAACTGAAGCCAAAGATTATAGCAGCATTCACCTGCTTAAACAAGCAGAACGCCCTGAGGAGTTGCAGGAGATTCCTAAGTTTGCTGGAGGCTATGGTTGAAGACAATGAGGATTCTATTGAATAAATTTGATCTTTAGTATTTCAAGAGATATTTGTGTAATTTCGGTAAATATATCAGTCAAATTGAAATGTCAACGTTATTTACATTTTTGCGTAATTTTATCCAGCGCATCCTGTATATATATATATATATATATATATATATATATATATATATATACTGATGCATGTGTCATTAAATAATATAGACAAGTATTGTCTATTTATTTCATGTAATTTTCTTTCATATCGTCTGATAAACAATAACATTATCATTAAACGAAGAAAGAAAATCACAATATTGATACATATTTTTTAATCCTATCTAAGCTTTCGGCTTACATAAACCATTATCAAAGATGACAATTACATTAGAATATATTAAGCAATACACGGACAAGACAGTGATGATACACATAATATATATATATATATATATATATATATATATATATATAAAAACATATTTTAAATCAATTAATTTATAATATTAATGCTCTGTAAATTTACATTGAGCACTATTTTGTAAAAATAAAAATATCTATAAGAACACCGATTTTATATCTTACTGTTCTTTTCTTTTTATTTATATACATATATATATATATATATATATATATAAAACCAATAAAAAAATAGATGAGTTATTTAACAAAAAATTTTCTTGTTTATATATACATATATATATATATATATATATATATATAAACAAAAAATTTTTTTGTTAAATAACTCATCTATTTTTTTTATTAGTTTACGATCATTTTCCTGCTTTGCGATCTTTTGTGATCCACTGCCCTTACAAGAGCCCGATCAGGCCTGAAATGGACAAAAACTGCCTAGTTTTCACTTTCCAATCACGACAGAGACCAAAAGCGTCTCTGCGTCCTTGTTATTTTCCATCCTACCACCACTTTCCTCACAGGCGAAAACTCGCAAGCCTCTCGCTGCTCCATGGAAAGTCCTCAGACTTGTAACATTCCTTAGTTCCACCAGTTGTAACTTTCACGGCTTAGATCCGCCATGACCAGCGCATTCTACCGACCCCACCTTCTAAGTTCCACTCCAGCGGCTTTTTCCCCGCGAACTGCTTGTCTGTGGAAACGACTCCCAAGAGTTCTTTTTCTAAACGCTGCGAACTTTCAAACTGTTCAAGTCGAAGAGTAATTATCTTCCCCACTTATTCGCCTAAATTGTCCCTCTAACTCTGTAACCCTCTACCTCGAGTGGCTCCCGTGCTTTGTATATATAAACCGTTCAGTATCTGTCTATATTTCTAAGATGAGGTATTATGTACACTATTTACATTATTCGGACTATTGTCCTCATCTTTGTCACCATATTTATTACAACGTTTCGGCCCATCAGTATCTGTCTATATTTCTGAGATGAGGTATTATGTACACTATTTACATTATTCGGACTATTGTCCTCATCTTTGTCACCATATTTATTACAACGTTTCGGCCTTTCAGTATCTGTCTATATTTCTGAGATGAGGTATTATGTACACTATTTACATTATTCGGACTATTGTCCTCATCTTTATCACCATATTTATTACAAGGTTTCGGCCCTTCAGTATCTGTCTATATTTCTGAGATGAGGTATTATGTACACTATTTACATTATTCGGACTATTGTCCTCATCTCTGTCGCCATATTTATTACAACGTTTCGGCCCTTCAGTATCTGTCTATATTTCTGAGGTGAGGTATTATGTACACTATTTACATTATTCGGACTATTGTCCTCATCTTTGTCGCCATATTTATTACAACGTTTCGGCCCTTCAGTATTTGTCTATATTTCTGAGATGAGGTATTATGACACTATTTACATTATTCGGACTATTGTCCTCATCTTTGTCGCCATATTTGTTACAACGTTTCGACCGTTGTACGCATTCATATGAACACAATATGGGAACCAGTAATAAGAAGTTCCAGAGAAAAGCGATAATAAAAGCGATCAATATGAGCTCTGGTAAATAATACAATGATAACAACAAAAATTGCAATATGAGCACTGGTAAAAAATGATTTCTGAAGACATTAGTTTTATAATGCAAAGATTTTCACGCGCGGCTATCCACAAGAACACATGGTACAGTGGATAAAGGCGTTAGTTAGATC